CATCGACCTCCATCTCCAATCGACGGACGAGGACCTGGTTTTCGCCACTGTTCATCGCCACTGTTCATCGACGACCTAATCCAATTCAATCTCAAAACTGCATCGCCCCCTAAAAGGTACACATAAACCTACAAATTGTAGTTGTTCATCGCTTTTCTTGATTTATTACTTCAATTTGGACATGGGTTTTGTTTTGCATCAAAATCTATGTTGATTTTGGGGCTTATTTCTTACTTCAATCGGTTGGCTACTGCCACAGTTTCTTGCTCCTGTGTTGATAGGTTCATGTTCATCTTCTGCCATTCTTATTTGTTAATTGCTAGCTTGGAAAACACTTTGGCCTCTCCCAGCTCATTTGTTAATTTGCTGTTTTATGGTTGCTGTTGATGTTGTTTGATGTTTGCTGTTTATGTATTTCTTGTTTTATAGTTGCTGTATTTGTTGTTATAGTTAGCATAAACATCGATTAGGTTGCCGTATTTGCTGTTTTATAGTTGTTGTTGCTGTTTGATCACATGTTTAGCATAAACCTCGATTAGGTTGTTGTTTCTATCGCTGTTGCTGTTTGATTTTGTTGTTTTCTATTGCTGTTAATTGTTGTTGGTACTTATTAGGGCTGTAGTGGTAGTAGGACCAGTGTTACCAAAATGCATTTCGTAGTGAAAGAACACTAAACAGCTCACTGGGGGGTAAATTGGTCATTTTAACCAGTTCTGTCCTGTCCTGTCCTGTCTTACCAAACGCTGAACAGCTGTCCTGTCCTGTCCTGTCCTGTCCCGTCCCGTCCTGTCCTGTCCAGTCCTGTCTGCGCACCAAACGCACCCTAAATGTATTGAAACACTGTTTCAAATATTATTCCAATAAGTTATTTTATGATCATTAAAATGAATTTTTACAATAAGCTTAAAAAATAAATTAATCTGTATTCGTCAAACATGGCCTAGATAACACATTCATGTCTCTAGAGACCGCTTGCTTTGGGTTATGCTATATAGCTGATAAAGCTTCATCTAGCCAATACACCAAATTAGCTTATCAAGACTTTTAGGATCGTTTATCAAATACTTACCCGATAAGAGTTTACTGATAAAATTTAATACTATCATTTACTTAACGAGTAAGACTTTTGTCCCCCAAAACGACATCTTTATTCAATAACTATCATTTATCAAGCACTTACTAGATAAATGCTTACCGATAAAATTTAACACTATCATTTACTTACATGATAAGATTTTAGTCCACAAAAACGGTGTTATATGCAATAATTTACCCGGTAAGCAAAAATGTTTATAATATTGTTTTGGACAGTAGTCTTATTGATATCCGTTCTTTATAGTTTATATCCAGTGCCCTATAATTATACTGAATTTGCTTCCTTACTATTTGACATCAACCTCAATCAGATCTTCATTAAACATTCCACATCCATTTGTTTTTGTCTTGATTTATTAACACCCAATAAAATACGTTAAAATTATTCAGTATTTTTAATCAATAATAAATGCTAAATAAATTAAACATGAACCCATATTCTCATATGGAATTATAACATTACACATATTTGACATGGACATAATTGTAATTTGGCATGATCTTCTAATGGTTTAGTTATTAATATTTCACTAGAAGGGTATTCGCGCAATTCAGCGAGATAAATCTCGATTTTAATGTTAAGTTTTTATTCTTTGTCTCTATCAAAATAATATGATTTTATGTGGTTTTGAGAAAACGATAATGTTTTTATTTTTGAGTAAAATATAAATTTGTAGCTAGCATAAAAATTTGAAAAGAAAATAGATCGATATTAGTATCAAATTAACTATTTAATAGTTCTTTTTTTTTTGGTGTAACTTATTTAACTCAATTTTTGTTATAATTTAATTTAGATCTAATAACAAAGTAATTTATTTTTGGTTTAATAATATAATTTTTTATAAAGATAATAATTAAATATTATGTTAGAACTCAATAATTATCTTAATTATATTTAGATTTTTTTAATTTAAAATGAATGTTTATCCTATATTTGATTACGTTTCTCTGTAGTTAGTTACACGAATTTTAAAATGGAGCTTTAATATGTTATACTACGTAAAATTACTTGTAATCTTGAATTTTAAGTAATATGCATTAATAAACAGTACTTCATGCAAAAAAAAAAAGTTTTTAAGAGTTTTTGTCAAATGCTTTATAATACAGTAATATAATAATTAAACATTCTGTTAGAACTCAATAATTATCTTAATTATATTTTAGATTTTTTATATTTAAAATGAATGTTTATCTTGTATTTGATTATCTTTGTCTGCAGTTAGTATACAGATTTAAAAATGGAGCTTTTATACGTTGTACTTACGTAAAATTACTTATAATAATAAATTTTAAGTAATATACATCAATAAACAGTACTTTATGCAAAATCTAAATTTATCATCAAACCATCGTAAGTAAATGTTTTGCTTGAGATTCAGATAATAATATAAAATCAAATAATATTGCAATTAAAATCATAACCTTATTCTTGGGTTATGGCGATTTAGTCCCCCAAGCAATTTAACGATCACTTACCATTAATCAAATACCTAATATGTACAAAACATTTATTCAGCATTAATTAATTTAAATACACAAATAAACCTAACATTCAACATTTAATCACGTCAGTATAAAACCATTTTTTTCTTTAATAGATCAGAAGGTAATATAATTAATTAAAATCCCCAAGTCTGGCAACCAGGTTCAGAATACGTTAACCGGAAACTTTCTAAACGTTTAATCACCTATAAACATAGATTAAAAAGCTTAAAAGGGAAACTATAAAAATAATTATTTGAAGATTTTATAAACACAACAATTTAAATTTTGAAAAATTAATTAAAATAGCTGTTTTAACCATATGGTTTTACCTCTTAGTCATTTCTCTTACAAAATTATGAAAATAGTCATAAATCCATAATTTACAGAAGAAGGATCAAAGTGTAAAGAAAATGAAATCATTTTTTAAACCAGGTTTACTATTACAAGAACCCAATATGTAAATTTGAAAGCCACATGTGGAAGCAGACATATTTTTGCGACCTATTAACTAATTTACATATTTGGTCTCTGTAATTGCTGACTTGGTTCATAAACTTCATATTTTTTTACACTTTCATCTCCGTAAATTGCAAACCTATAACTATTTTTGTAATTTTGGAAAGAAATGACCTAATAGATGAAACCCACTAGTCAAAATGGTTATTTTAATTAATATCCTTTAAAATTTATGATATGATATCTACAATCACTTCCCAAGCAAAAATAGACAAAAATACCATTTGAGTTGAAAAAAAGTCTATCCATGAAAAACAAATTATGTGCTGGGTTTTTTTTTTTTTTTTGTTGGTATACAACATTAAATTAAATGAGATTTTAATTAAAACCTAATTTAAGGTTATATACCTAAAGTGTTAGATTCTAGTAAGAATAAAAGTTAAGGTGAGAATGAAACCTTCATATACCCTCAACTACATTCAATTACCTTTATTTACCTTTTCCTTTATCATCATAATCAAAAGATTAACAAATTCATGGATGTAAAAGTGTATGAATGTAGTTGAAAAAATTAAGTTGGATTAAAAAAATCAACTCATACAAGAGCTCAGAAGTGTTCTCACCGTTCTCAACGTAACTATTATTCTCACATGATCCCCCGTCTTTACCTAAATATACCGTTAACAAAAAGTGAGATTTTGAAACATATTGGAAGGTCATAATTTAAAAGAACCTCCGTACGATGAAACAGTTTCTGTTGGTCAGAAAAGAGAAACAAACAGAAAAAATGGTAGTTGAAGATGAAAATGAGCAAAGCAAATGTGTATATGTATTATAGTTTTGAAAATTTGCCACAGAGATATCATCAAAGAAAGATCTCCTTTTTAACTTATTTCTCTACATTCTATGTACACTTACAAAAGGTATTTTGGCACGGAAACCGGGCTTAATCGGCTTTCTCAGTAAAAGCGGTCATGACCTTCTTCGTCTTCGCTATCATCTTCATCTGAGCTGTTGGCATCAAAAGTTAAAATAAATTCTAGCATATTACCTTCTGCATTTGTGTCCTCCGTGCGCCTTCGCTCTGGGCTCGTTTGTTGACTTCGCATTGCAAGCAATTGGAGGGCCATGTCTCTCGGTGACACCATTTGATACATCCAACTATTGGTTTTAGGCCTCAACTGGAAACACACAAGGGTATGTCATTGGTGCATATTATTTAATACAGTTATTGTACAAATTCATATGGTTGATGTGCGTTTGGTACACAGACGAGACCGAGGTACATAGACACAGCTACGTTTCTGCTAAACACGATATAAGACGATAATAATTGAATATACCTAAATGAATATCATCATCACCGCCTAATTACTATTTCAATAAGCCATAGAGGACTTCCACCAATTAAAGAGATGACCACCTTCATTGTCATAATGAAAACCTATCCATTCCTCATTCACTAAGAGTATTATCATGTGAATCACCATATTCACCATTATTATCCTCATGCATATATACTCATCATCTTTGGTGTCTGCTATATAACTAGTGGAACTATCATCACAAACGTCTGAGTAAATACTCGGGCATCAGAATCGACCAAAAATAGCAAATGGAAAAAAAAAATAGATGGCACACAAAAATCTTCTCCACTCGGAACAAATCCATAGAAGCAATAATTCCGTCCTTATATGGCATAAAAAGTCATCTGGCAAGAACATTCTCAGTTACTAGGTCAAACCCTCTTTGCTTGTCACGAGTTCCACCTTAAGCTTCTATATTGCCGATGAGCAGTCAAGATTATATGCAAACAACACATAACAAAGACAGCCAAGAACAAGCAGAACAAAGACCAGGAGGAGATCAAAGAGTTAACTACTATACGTTGAATCCCTTCATCCAAAATTCTCTCGGCAGATTTTTTGTGTCTGTAAGATATGGACTTAATAATCTCGCATACAAGTTAAAAACATATCCAGAAACACAAACCCCTGTTATTTTATACGGGATAAAGATTCAAACATGTTGGGGTACTCTTGTAGCATTATGCTGGACATTCACATATAGAAAATGATTTTGATTCAAGTTATTCTTCAAGATGGAGTATGGACCCCATATATGGCTATGTAAGCAAGAAAAATAATAATAGTTAGGAGTGTAGAACATGAATTGACTACAACACTAAAAATAATGGGTGCACAACACAAACAACAAAGATGGCCAACCGAACAAATATTAGGGAAGATCCCCGTTGGGGTAGAAACAAACAGGTCAAATATTAAATAATTAAAAGCTACAAGGACAAACGTATTTAACAAGTTAGAAATTATTCAAACTCATATACTCCATCATCTAGTATGCAAGATTCAACATCACCGTAAACAATGGCAGTAGTTTTCGGCTTATGATCGCTATTTATCGATTATGACATGAAAATACATGAAATAGGGTTCAGATGAGTACATATAAGCAAATATTTTGTGGGAAGGATACTTACCTTTTCGATATTTGTTGGGGGAGGCGCCTTTTCAAGTGCTGTTGGTGTCCAAATCTTTATGTCCCTGTCGATACCACTGCTGGCAAGCATAGTTGTATGTGGATGAGCTTGGATACAGTTAACTACTTGCTTATCTGCCTCCATAACACGGACAAGTGCTCCATCCTTTTTCCTCCAAATGAACATTCGCCCGCAATCAGACCCACTCACAACATACTCGCACTTGGGTCCAAAGAAGCTAACCCCCTTGACTGTCACACAGTTTCGGTGCCCCTTGTAGAGTTGAGGGCCCAATATGGAATCAGTTTCCATATCTGAATCAGAACCAACAGAGAGATGATTATCTAGAATTTCATTCACATTGCTTCCCCATCCCATATCCTTAGAGAAAAGATAGATGAATTCTTCACAGTAGGAAACAAGAAGTTCACTCTGATCTGAGAATGCCAAACCTGTAATCCCCACATTCTCATCACCTAATAAATGCTTGGGACAAAAATGGTCAGCTGGCTTACCAAAAGCAGCTGAAGCATCCCACCTATATCTCCGGATATCATATAATCTAGTAAATTCATCTGAACCAGCAATTACGAACAGATTAGGGTTTCGTGGATCTATAGCAATAGCATTTAGATTCACGACTCGCAGGAAGCTTCTACCACGCACAGGTTGGCAACTAAAAAGTTCTGTAGCCTCTCCTGTCCTCAGATCAAACTGGAAAAAAGATGATGTTAAATAAACTTCAATGAAGAAGGAAAAGAAGTAACAAGAAAGGTTTCTCAAAAGATGTGTTTCATGATATCCAAACACAGTCGTTTGCTAATTCACAGAACAACAGAACTGAAAATATAATTTAATGTTAAGTAACCAGATTGATCATGACTAACATGTTGAACCAACCCATCTTCACCACAGGTATAAAAGATGTGTGGGCTCCCAGGTTCATTGGCTAGCTTATGAGCCCTTCCTTGATGTCTTGCAAGCAATTTCGTCTCCACCTTTCCACAATCTAAGATAGTAGCATGTCTCACCTAGAATCAAATATATATATTCTCATTACAAATTTCCTCTTTATACCATAAAATATAACCAATGTTATATGTGGAAATAGCATCATCACAAAGAGAAAAATGATCAAATAGAAAAAAGTTCAGAAAGGATAATCAACTAGTAATATATAAATATTATGAACTTCAAATATAGAGATCTATATCAATCACTTACGAAGGCTAATCACACTCGAACTTGTTATTTTAAGTAAGCATATCAACCCACATAATAAGATTTCCACGGTCACCACTACATACCTCCGAAAGGAAGACTTTCAAGTCAATCCCACCAGGCCAATATCATGCGTACAATTGCAAATAAAAGAAGATGAAGCTAAGATTCATGCTGTCACTCCAAAAACCAAAAATACCTGCCCATCAGCAGCACAAGTAACAATGCTTCGCTCATCAGTCTCTGGCATGATCTTTGCTTGGAAGATATTGTTATTATGACCTGAATTAAAAGAAAGTTTAACACGCCCAGTTTCCCAGTCCCAAAGTATAACTCTCCTGTCATCTGAGCCAGACACGAGAATATCCCCATCTGCATTAAAGCTCACAGTATTCACGCATCCTCTGTGCTTTTCCAGTTTCCTCAAAAGATCAAGCCTCAGGACTAGATCCTAACACATGAAAACAATTATGAAAGCGTTGTCAGAAATTAGAAGTTGCAATGTGCTTAACAAGAATGCATTAGATCACATGACCTCCTTCATTGGCAATCCAATAGAGTATGAGAATAAATACACAAAAAATCATTGACCATTCACACGAGCTTTTAGAAATATCATAGACTTGTTTGGCTTAAAAACCAATTTCTTTCCTTCTTTTCCTTTTATAATAATTGTTCCTGAAGAGGGCAAATTAATGATGCAGTAAATGCTATTCGCGCTCCACCTTAACAATATTTACTAATACCATTGTTGCAACTAGTACGCACCAAAGGATCCTTAAAAGAGATTCCCCAAAAATATGGACATCGTTATTACCATCATAACTGAGAAAGCAATGTTAATAGACCTTTAATTGATGTGTAACATACCCAGATCAATCATTTTAGAAGGAAAGTTCTTAATGATAGATATACGACAAACAAATACATACAAAGAAACCATCTAGGACTTTTAGGTCTACTTTTTTATTTTCCCTGTAAAATGCCTGTAAAAACAAGTCAAAAGGTTCTCAATAGCTATTTTTCAAAGAGTTGTGGATTTTAGTTCGCAAATGTCTTCATATTTATTTCGCAAAGTGCTATAGATTTTAATCCGCGAAAGTCTACAAAAGGACGTGACAAAAGAGTGGGATCAAAGAAGGGTTGTGAAGCTGTTGCATTATCACAAGACAAGTGAGACAACTGTATACCTTGAATCCTATATCATCACCTCCCAATCATATATGACTCTCTTTGTTTTGCTAAGAAGTTTCAGAATATAGCAACTATGAACAGTACAACACTGTCACCTCCCAGCTTCCTTTCATGTGTTCTAGAAAGTAATTGAATTTCCGGACAGCTATAAATTATCAGAGAAAACTACTTCCATTGTAAGCTGAAAACAGCAATCCTACCAAGGACATGAAGATTCCAGCTCTCAAGGACGCAGCATTTTCTTAGCAAAATTTAGATGTCTTGACGGTTAGGCATAAGTTGACAAACAGTTCAAACCCCCATCACTTGGATACTCACTATCTCAAAACATGTGAATTTGGAAGTCCCTAGTAATTATTAGCACAATTGGGAACTTCAAAAGGACAGTGACTATCAGGCAAATTAATATCTATTGTCACTCAATTATATACACATAGATTAGGACACCTTGCAAGTATTTTTATACACTGCCAGTAAAGAAAATTGGTACACCAATGGATCACCGGACAATGTGGCTCAACCTTGTCTTCCATTCATGTAAAATTGATATTTACGCATACAAAACAAGAAGAAAAACACAGAAAAACGATGTAAATCGTGATTGTTAGGGAAAGGGTTTACGCTTAATTCCACAGGCAATAAGCCTAATAATTGTGCCCTAAAAAACATAATCAGATCAAACTCAGCAAATACGCATCTGCTGATCCAACAGCTGGGCCATTTACCTGCTTGTAAATATACAAACAGATACATATATGCATGTTTGTAAATTTATTGAAACGGCAATGAGAAGGAAACAACTGAAGTAAAACCAAATGCATACCTCAGAAGCAGCGAGACGGTGGGCGAATTTTCTGGTGGAAAGATGGCCGACTTCACGGCGACAGATATCAACCACGGCCGCATCGACGCTCGCTCTGTTCCTTTTCTTCATCATCCTGCAAGGATAAAAACCATTAGACACGCAACAATTTGATCTCTCTTGCTGGAATAGGAATAGGAATAGGAATAGGAATCCGAATGAATCGATGAATGAATTGAGATGGAATTTGAATACGATATTGCAAATCAATCACATTTAACAACCTGAATCGATTGTTTGATAAAGAGAAAACCTGAATCTGAGTGTAAGTAGATACCTAGAAGTAGAAGGATCCATCGTCCACCTCTGAAGCTGCGGATTGAAACGATCTTTATGTGTCGATACGAGATGAACACACCTCAATTTATACTCCTCCCTCCCTCTCAGCACGTGCATGTTACACACATGTTCCGTTCATCAAATTTTCTTTTCCCTTATAATGGAACGAGAAACAATCCGTGAATTAATTTTTAAAGCATCTTCAATATTTTTTTATTTTATTTTATTTTATTTAAAAAAAATATTCTAATAATTATTTTAAAACTCTTTTCTATAATAAAAAAATTAAAAATTATAGCGTATATGAAGATTTATAAAATCTTTTATTTTTTAGTCACAAAAATCTCAAAAAGATTCTACAAGAAAAGTTCTTAGCAAAAACATGGTATTCTCGTTTTTCTTATTTATAAGTAACTAGAATGATGCCCATATAATGCAGCGAGATACATCTTGATTTTAATGTATATTTTAATTCTAGGTGTCTGTTAATGTTATAACACGATTTTGTATGGTTTTGAGAAAATGATAATGTTCTTATGTTTGAATAAAATATAAATTTAAACATCCATAAAAATTTGAAAAAAAATATCGATATTAAAATCAAATTAAATATTTAAAAATTCTCGTTTTTTATGTAATTTCTTTAATTTGATTTTTATTATAATTTAATAATGGAGTTTTTTTATAAAGATTATAATTAAGTACTCCCTTAATGTTAATGATTATCCTGATTATATTTTAGATTTTTTTATATTTAAAAATATCCCTAAAAATTGAATCTTGTAAAGCAAAAACAAAAGATTGGAGCGTAAATAAATCAAATACTAAACAAGAATAAAAGATTGAAAGGTAAATAAACAAACCTTTGAACATTTTGATTTTGTTTGTATCAATCTTGAGGCACACATATGATAACGGTGGAGAATGAGCAAAGCACACACTCTATGATCAATTATTATTTATAAAGGACCACCGGTCTTTTGTTAGCAATGTGCACACACAGAGGTTTGCCTCAATCAACAGAGGAATATCATCACACAGATAGAGCTTATTGAAAAACTCTCTCACAAATGCATTAAACGATAGATTAAGTAAAGTTAACGAAAACAAAACAAAATACCCCTAAAAATTGTATCTTGTAAAGCAAAAACAAAATATTAAAGAGTAAATAAATCAAATACTAAACAAGAACAAAGATTAAAGGGTAAATAAACGAACCTTTGAAGATTTTGAATCCGTTTGTATCCTAAAAAACAAAAACAAAAACAAAAACAAAAACAAAAACAATATATTGAACAGTATTGCTTCATATATATATATATATATATATGTATATATATATCCATCTCTCAATCTGTTGAAATCTTATGTATATTCATCTCTAAATCTGTTGAAATCGATAGATATCAGGATATGGATGAATGTTAGCGACTCATAAAGATATGGATGAATGTTAGCTTTTGATGGAAGATGAAGGTTATCTAAATCCCGCTTAGGTATTTCAATAAGTTGTTAAGAAATTGTAAATTTTAAAATTAAGTAATTAAAATTATATAGCATTGCATAATGCTTAAAATGTTGTTTTTAAAAGTTTCTATTAAATGCTTTATAATATAATATAGATTATATAATTTTATTTATGATTTACCTATTATATCTATACTATCTATACTATATTATAAAGCATTTGGCTAAAACTCTTAAAAACTCTTACAAACTCTTAAACTCTTAAAACTCTTAAACTCATTCATCCCTAAACAATTTCATCCATATCCGATTTCATCCCATAACTGAATTCGTGTAACTAACTGCA